CGCCGCACGCTATTCATGAAAATCAGCCATTGCAAAAACGACGATCACACAAAACAGTTGTCACTATAAACTCTGCCGAAACTAGTCCTTACCTTCTGAAGCAACGGTAGTCGGCTTATCGACTCAGGAATGTTAGATCTATGTGCTCATAGCAGCAAAACGCGGTACTACAAAAGCTCTGCCCACAAAAAAATTAGTTCAGTTTCTTTTGGGTACCCCATTGTATATGGATCCAAGTTTCATCCACAGTTACGAGATAGTTAAAAAATCCCGCAGGATCCCATCAAAATCAGCCCAAAATGGCTTGTGAAGCGAGCACTAGATCACCCTTCTAATCAGCATTGAGATATTTGGGAACCCATTTGGCTGAGAGCTTTCTCATCTCTAAAATCTCATGAATAATATAATCTACTCTTTCTCAGGATATCGCCAGGGTCTCTTGCTATCTTTTTAGCAGATATTTTTCGATTGTCTATAATCATCGTATGAATGGCATCCATGTTTTCTGGAACTGTCACTTCAGTTGGTCTCCCAGAACGTTGGTCTTCAGTGCTCAGTGTCCTGTTCTATACCTAGCAACCAACCCACTTCTTCACTGTGCAGTATGATGGGCGCTTATTGCCTAATGTAACCAACATATCATCGTAAATTCTTTTGGCCGAGTTACCTTTTAGGAAAAGATATTTCATCACCGCTCACTGATCACTTTTGCAGTGAACTCTCCATTGTTTTGCTCCATTTTCACTTCAGACAGGTAACAAACATTAAATAATCAGGCTACAATTATGAAATTTATGTCATAGATATACAAAATAATAAACTTTGATGTGCAATAGTATTATTAGCATAAAAGTAGGTGAAATAGGAAAATCCAAATACTTATGAGTATCCCTATGTATCACTACATCTACTGACTAACCTATAAGCTGTGGACCATACTAGCCCTTACACCATGACTGTCTTTGCTCTATTGTGTATCAATATCCTAGCGAACTCTAGACTTCAGACAGACTTTTGTACTTTGCTTAATAAGGCACACTAAGAAGTCACAGTTACACCGAATGAAGTCTCATGAGACAAAATCGTAAGTCAGCTACAGTCTCACAGACACGTGGGATGTGCAGATACAGCTATATCTGTCATATAGACATACGTACCGCTCCATCTTATGTCTTGATAATCGAATCTTGTTCAATTCTTCTCTTTTCGTAACATACTGCACCTTCTTCGACTTTGTACGTGAACTGGCAACAGACCTGGAAATTATTTACCAATATTTAAGTTTAGGCAGCACAACATACAACATACTGATGTAATGGGTTTCTTCGTATTTCACATCTTGATTTGACTCTGAAAATAAATGCCGTCACACATCCAATAACACTGGGACTTCAATTATAACATAGTGTAGTAAATGTCATCTATACAGGATTTCTGTGTTATGACCCTTTTATGCTACAGACATCATGCTGTCGTGATTTGGGGGTGGACTGGTGAATAGATTTACTGACCACTTACAGGTCATAACTACAAATAACTGTAACACTATTGCTGGATTTCCAAACTTTACAAATCACTACACGCTAAGTCTTCTCCAGCCTGGAGTGTCCTCACTAGTAGTTACTTGGTAACAGCTCCCAACAATGGAGATTCTTCAGCTTCTGTGCTCATGTTGTTACTGTCATCTGGTTAATACTCCACAACTGCAATGTCAACTTAATTACTGTACTATCTCTTCTCAGGCTCCCTTGCAGAACTCTCAACTGACTGGGTTGCCACAACTGCCTTCCCTATAACCCCTTTGCACAGACAAAGTAGACAACACCAATTCCAACAATAACTCTATTGTTCAGAACATATTTGTTGCCATAGAAATATGTTTACCGATCCGTTGCCTAGAAACGGCCATTGTTTATTTGCCTATCTTGCAGTCACTGCATATCAACTGCTGTACCCACTAAAATACTGTATGTTTTCTGACATATCAGGTTATGTTACATCATACATCCAGGGTGATTCACGAAGTTTTACCCCGGCTTATAGTACTAATTCCTGGGGTTATTTCCTGCAAAATTTCCTTATAAACTTGTGGTTGATTTTCAATAGTTACAGAGTAACAATGGATTTTTGAAACGCATCACTGTGAATACAGCGCTATGCAACCCCCCCCCCCTGACTGGGCGACCATGCGTTCCAGTCAGCTGTGTCAGCAGATAACGCAGACCAGCTGGAATGTTACACGTAGGTAGGCAGAGTGTTCCAGTCGTAAATAGGATGTTGTGTTGGTGACTGTGAAGTTAAGATGCTGTACACATTTTCCACTGAGGAATACGCCGATATGGTGTTTGTTTTGGGTATATGTGATGGAAATATATGAGCTGCTGCTGCTGAATATGACCAGTGTTATCCTAATTGCAGGATTCCGAATCCTAAATCCATTAGCAGTACATTCAACACATTAAGATAAACTGGTTCCTCAGCGTTCGTATACAATACAAATGAAATCCTCAACATGAATTGTGCGAAGAAGAAAACATTCTCAATGCTGTAGAGCGCACCTTTCCAATTCATAATTCACCAGTCATCCTACAAATTGACACTACACAGTCTGAGTTATTGACAGAATCATAAAATAAATAAAAAAAAGTTCAACAAAATGTACAATGAACAAAAATTAAATATTATTCTCATTAATTTTTATAAGTTCTGTACCAAACACATTTTGATTCAGTCAATCCTTAAGAAAATAACAGAAGGGTAATAAATGTCCAGGTTCCATACAATCAGAGGAACTTTGTGAGTAGACTAGAGGCTATTCTGTCCTCAACAACAACAACAACAACAACAACAACAACAACAAAAACAGCTGTGATCCTTCATGACTTGAGGGCGACAGCCATGTTTAGCGAGAGGTCATCTTAAATGTGGCAGCTTTTAATTTGGTCTTCATTAACTACAAATTTAAAGAAAACAGAACAGTTTAGTATGCTGCAAGATGAAGAATACTACAGTGACCATTTATGTGCTACATAGGAGGAAAGGTTAAATACAGTATTTGGTAAGCAGTGACTGTCCATTGCAACAACCCCAGTGAGAAAATTTAACAATTCCCATCTCTAACTACAGCCTCTATAGATAACCTGATCCACTGATCCACTCTTACACATTACAACCCTCGAGGGTAACTTCGAAGTCACAAAATCACTGAGGATGCTAGCTATAAACTTTAGAAGTTCTGGAAAGACAGATTTTCTTGGCAAAGGTTTACACTGTAATACCAACTGAGACACTGCCATTTATTACTGCCATCTTCTGGTTCTAAGAAAACTAAATAAGATTAGTTTCGCTTTCCATCTCCACATAATAACAAACCAAAATATGTTGCCCTGCTTTGACTACAGATAACTGCAAACAGAACAGATAAATGAAGATAACATTGATTTATTTTAAGTCGTCCAGTGAGACTAGAGGGAACAAGATAACAACACTGGAGATAAGATGACTTATTATCTGAAAATTCATTAAAACTGAATAACTAACTCCATGAAGCAGAGTATTTCTGAAAAGCTTACAGTTACTCAAGAAATGTCCTGCCATTTATGAAAACCAATGGTTCATTACAGTATAGTGGAACCTCGCTTAACGAACACCTCTTATAATGAGTAATCCACATTAACGAGCAAAACAAACTGTAAAAAATGACTCGCTTAACGAGCGACGTTTCGCATAACGAGTGACGAGAGGGGAAGTCCCGGATTGTGCGCTTCCTACATCAGTCTGTGTTTAGCACTCGTTCTGCTAGCATCTTAGTGTCGCTTGTGATCACACATTTTTCCAAACTTGTGTTCAGACATATTATTTGTGTTTTTTTTTTGTGTAAAGTTTAATAACCCTTGCAAAAATGTACCTGAAGAAAAAGCCGCAAAAAGACAGCCATAAGAGAATAAAAATAACCGTAGAAATGAAACGTAAAATCACTGAAAAGCGAGAACGAGGTGTGAGCATGGCTGGTATAATATGCATATACAGTCGGTCTACATCAACGATTTGCACGATTTGGACTTGCATTGTGTTTCACAGCAAGAAGTTGTGGAGGAGAGTTTGTCAGAGGAGGAGCAGGTAACAGCAAGGCAACAATCTTCTGGCGCAATATGAGAAATGCTGAAAGCATGGGAAACTGCTGCATCGTACACTGAGAAGCATTAACCTAATAAGGCAGTGGCTATGTGCGCTACAAATTTATTTAATGATAATGCTGTGTCGCATTTTCACCAAATTTTGAAGCATCGGCAAAAACAAATGTCTCTAGACAGCTTTCTAGTAAAAAAGAATCAGATATGTATCATAAATAATAAACTAATTATTTCGATTTTTTTTGTTTTCTGCAAATCGAATTCGCATTCCAGGTTGGTTCCTTCCGCATAGAAGAAAAGATGAAGATGATTCAATCTCCTTAACAATGTACATATAATTTTCTTTGAATAAACATTATACATAAAATTTTTTGAGTATTTTTTCTGGCATGGAACGCATTATCGTATTTTACATTAATTTATATGGGAAAAACTGTTTTGCTTAACGAGTGTTTCGCATTATGAGTAAGATCCTGGAACGAATTATGCTCATTAAGCGAGGTTCCACTGTATCCACAAGAAGCCAGCACCGAATCCGACTCTGAGCCAAATCAAATCTTACAAATCAATCCAGTTCACACCCTCATACCATCTTTCTTTAAGATAATTTTAATATTATCTTCCCATCTATTCCTATGCATTCTAAGTCTTCTCCCTCCTTCAGGATTTCTTGCCAAACGTTTCAACACATTTCTCATATCTGTCCTGTCCATCTCATATTCCATATGACCTGATCATCCTAGTAACATCTGGAGCTTGGTATAAGGCACAAAGCTCTTCATTATGCAGTTTCTCCCAGCCTCCTGCACCTCACTGCAACATACTGTGGAGCATTTGCTCCATGCAAGAATGGTTGAGTCACGGGAACAGCCGTTTCTACGTGATACACACATTCAACAGCAGAACAACAGGGTTACGCAACCTGTTTCTAGGCAATGGCTCAGTTAACACTTCTGCGTAGAAAGTGATGTTGCACAATAATACAGCAGCAGAATTTTCTTTGTGTCTGTGCAGCTTAAGCATGCGCAATGATGTCACACTCCAAGAGTGCTTAGCTATCACGTGACTTGTGCTTTCTATGTGGTCTGTAGTGCAACGGTGTTTTCTGCGTTCTCCATGCCACTGTTATTTAATGCAAGCCTGCTTGCATATGAAAGAGCTTTTTAGTTGAGTTCTGAAGTTCCAGGGTGATTGAACAAGAAATGGCAAGACTTCATAGTGACTTGAAGTGATGGTTCCTGTGTTGAGACCCACTGCCAGGAGATGACTAGTGAGGATAGAGAAACATAGTGCATGTGCAAAGGTGAACTGAAAGTGTGCAGAATAATGAGTGTTATAACTGAGCGTGATTAATAGAACTTGTAACTAAAGTGCCGATAAATCGAATCACCTGATCTATAACCTGTTATTTTCATTATGTGTACCCACCCTACAGGTGCCAACACAACATATCCTTACTCTGCGATGCCATGCATCATTCCAAACTCCACCAACCCCTTCCTTCTATATGCTATCTTGCTCCCCTTCTACTCCCTTCCCCTCCTACCCAGTCCTGGACTCCTGAGCCCATTCCTAAGTAACTCTGTCTCCCACAACAGCACAGCTCACATCACGTTTCTTTGTATTTATTTGGCTTCAGAAATTGCTCTGCTGTTTCGTTGCACTACTCGACTCTGCTCTGGATTTCAGTTTTGTATAATTACTATTTCTGCTGGACTACTGCCTGTACTATTATATTCATCTGTCTATTCATTAATGGTATTGTTTTTTTAGCTTGCGTCTGTGCCCCAGATTACCCACTTTGATGCATGCTGACCTCTGTGGTAGCTGCTCCCTTGTTGCCACATTGTGCAGTGGTGTGTCAACGCAATCAGTCCAGTGCCTACTCAAAGAAGAAGCCTCAAATTTAAAGACTGAGGATGTGATAATGTGCTGCCTGGTCATGGCCAACACACACCTCAGGGGGCTTTGACAGATGAGTATGGAGCAATGGCAGAATGATGATTTGGGGGGAGAAAAGAGAAATGCTTGCAGAAAAACCTGCTCCAGTGCCAATTCATCCACAATGAAACTCACATGAAACCACCAGGGACTGAACCCAGGCTTCCAAAGCGGAGAAGTAAGATCTACATGAAAATAATAATTACTTAAATGTATGGATAACTGATCATATATGTCTGTTTCTTTTAATTTTTGTCAAGTAGNCGGAGAAGTAAGATCTACATGAAAATAATAATTACTTAAATGTATGGATAACTGATCATATATGTCTGTTTCTTTTAATTTTTGTCAATTTTCTTCTTCAGAGACCTTTCAAAATACACCCAAAGAGACCACATTGTAAGGCTTAAGATATTTTCTTTCTAACCAAAGTTTACTCATATATTTACCCCACCCCCAAGCCCCTTTAGGGGGGATGGTAATGCCACCACAATATTCGCAAATGCCTTTAACAGCTATGGGTGCCATACATACTGCTAACAGCACACTGTAAGTTTCATGATATCTCGAACAGGTCTGCAGCTGGAAACACGCTGACAGGAATAACACGCTCATATGTAGCGGAAAATAATTGGTATACGAGGGTCGATCAATAAGTACCTGTGTTAGGAATAAAGACACAAGTTTTTCACTTTTTTTTTTTTTATTTTTCAACGTAATCTCCTTTCAGGTCGATACACTTTTCCCAACGTTTCTGCCATTTCTTTAACCCCTCCAAAAAATACGATTTGTCAAACTCTTCAAAATACGCTTCTGTCTCGGCGATAACCTCCTCGTTTGAGCTGAATTTTTTTCCCCCGAGCCATGTTTTCATGTTGGGGAACAGAAAAAAGTCACAGGGAGCCAGGTCAGGCGAGTACGGTGGGTGTGGCAGCAATTCATAGTGCAGTTCATGCAATTTGGCTACGACAATTCCAGATGAATGTGCTGGTGCGTTATCGTGGTGAAACAGCACCTTTTTCTTAGCCAAATGGGGCCGTGTCTCCTTCAATTTCTTATCGAATCGGTCCAATAATTCACTGTAGTACTGCCCCGTGATCGTTCTTCCTTTCTGCAAAAAGTCCATGAGGATTATTCCCTTCGAATCCCAAAAAATCGTGGCCATGACCTTTCCGGCCGATGGGACCGTCTTTGCCTTCTTCGGAGCAGATTCACCCGGAAAAATCCATTGTTTTGACTGTCGCTTGGTCTCTGGCGTATAATAATGTATCCAGGTTTCATCAACGGTGACGACTCGACGCAAAAACTCCTGCGAATTTCGCTTAAAGAGGTCCAAACACTGCTTCGACATTGACAGCCGTATCCACTTGTTGTCCACCGTGAGCAACCGCGGCACCCATCGGGCTGACACCTTTCTCATACTTAAGTTATCATGTAAAATATTGAGTGCCGTTCCGTACGACACACCTATGGCCTCTGCTACTTCGCGCACTTTAGTTCGGCGATCAGCGAGAATCATGTCATGGACCTTTTCAACGATTTCCTCGGTAACGACGTCTGCCGGGCGGCCCGGCCGCTCCTCGTCAAAAACAGATGTACGACCACGTTTAAATTCGTTGAACCAATATCTCACGGTTGTCATAGATGGTGAAGGGTCCCCATAGACGGCATCCAACTTCGCTTTTATTTCTTCGCATGTTTTTCCATCCAAAAATAAAAAGCGAATTACGGATCGATATTGCACTTTCTCCATTGTATCAAGAAAGACAAAACACGTCTGATGCAACTGGCTGCCAAATAAAAACTAACCTATGAATCAGTCTGAAATTTAGTATGGGGTCGTTTGACAGATGGCAGTACACGACGGTAAAGCCAACTTCCCTCAGCAACGCCACCTGTCTTCAAACACGGGTACTTATTGATCGACCCTCGTACAGTCATATTTATCAAAAACAGATGTAACTAAATTATCCTCGAAATAATAACATTATTAAAGTTATCAATTACATATCAAATGCAGAATACTCACTTCTTATCTGACTCAGAGTCACTACTACTCCTAGAACTACTGCTGCTGCTTCTCTTCCGACTCTCAGCTTTGTCAGACTTATCCGTTTCAGACCCGCTGTCATCTGAGTATATGTCGGATGCTTTCAATTTTGTTTTCAAACTGCTCGACTTCTCTTCTGGCTGTTCCCCATCTTCCTCTTCCCTCTCAACACCTTCTTTTTCTTCTTCACGGCGTTTTTCTTGTTCTATTCGTTGCTGTTTCTCTTTTTCCTCTGGTAAAAAGTGTGACACAGAGATTGGAACACAAACTATGACTATCATCATCTGTTCTGATAGTGTGCAGTTCAGTTCAAGCTCACCATTTACAAGAAATGTATTGACCTTGCATTCAGGGCTTAAGTGTAAGCCATGCAAGTGCTGTTGGTTGTTTGCTCAGCTTACTCCTTCACCCTGAAGATGGAGGCAGTACATTCCTCTGAAATGTCAGTATCTTCTGCCAGATTAGACACTGTCACATCCAGAAAGATGTGAGAACCATATATCCAAACTACACATAATATGTACATGAAAGGCAGGTCTCAGTACATCATCAAATCACAATCAAAGGTAATCCAATTATTTTTAAACCATTATAATGTGATATAACATGAGAAGTGGGAATTCATAAATACTGTGACATGTCTAACCATTGCTGGGCAACAGGAGGTGGAACAAGTTACCATGAAGACAGACCCCTGATAAACGGTCGGTTGCCAGGTTACACAACAGTAAGGAAAGCAGTGTTTCTCCATGCTGTGCTGAGCCGAAGTGCTCTGGTTGCTACGCAGCAATAAACAACTCTCGGCAGTGTTGCCCAGCCTTTGTAAACACAGTGTCACGCAACAGGGGAGCCCATGCAGCGACTGTTGCTAGGCAATCGGCAAACACGTCACACAACGGTGAAAGCTATCATGTAACTGTTTTCTGTGTGGTCAGTGCAGAAGCTACGTAACAGGAGTATTCGTCAGTGAGAGGGAGGAACCAGTCAGTTGCAGTCTAGCATTTGCCAGAGTGAGTGGAAGCAGGAGAAGTAGTTGTGATACTGCAGATGGCAGTAATTATGAAATTGTGAATTGTGTAATTGTAAAAGCGAGTGCTCAATAAAGTAGCTACATCCAAGATGGCATGAAGTTATTTGTCATGTTATACACCCAACACGTGACAATACTTAACAGAATTAGAAGAGAAATGACTGGTAATGTGAGAAGGCTGGATAAGAACAGAGATATGGTGAAGGGCATTAGAATTAAACTTAAAAGGTAAGAGATCTATAGCATGGTCCAGAACAAGATGTTCAGCCAGGTGCTGAAACAGATCAAGAAGAAGTGAAATAGATGACAATAGAAAAAAAATGATTACAATAAGAAAGAAGAGACTTTTCACTCATGAGTCATATAAGACACAACAGTATACATGATTTATAACTCCATATATTTTGAATTTCAACTGAGCTGCTGTCATGATTACAGGCAACCATGGAATTTACATGGCAGTTGCATTCCCAAAACTCATCACCTTTTTTGATATATATGCACTGTTCACACGAACATCAATGTTCACTGGCCCAATGAGTCGCACACTCCTACATACACTGTACTATCAGAGCGCCTGTTGAACAAAGGGAGTGAAATTCCAGTTTCTTTTTAATGAGAAAGTAACCTTCTTTAAGAGGTCTGAGGTTCTCACGATGTTGAAAATTGAGTTTACACTCATGTATGATGTGACGGCATGTAGTGTGGTGCATACAGAACTAATTCCATGGACCTGATACTTCTCCAGAAGCTGCCAGTTGCTCAGTTACTAAAGAATCTCTCAACATTCGTTGGAACCAGAGAGCTCATTTATTGTGTTTACAGGAGCCCTCCACTGATCCCTATCAATACCGTGCCTTCCTATCACTCTAAGATCCATTCCAATAATATCCACCCACCTATGTCTTGGTCTTCCTAGTGATCTCTTTCTGTCTGGCTTTCCCACAAATATTCTATATGCTAAAAACCAAGTTACTGGGTGAAAGTATACAGACTTTACCTGGACAATAGGCTTTCCCCTTGATCAGAAACTTGATTCACATTTTTCTTATCAAGAGGGAAGTTATGATTTAGCATGGAATGACATGTATTATTTGTTGCACCCTGCTATACATTAATAGTATCTCATTAATGAATAAATCCATATGATGTACTCAGTTAAATGATGGCTACAAATAAAAAAACAAGGGGAAAACAGAACATACAAACTCATTAAAAGAAACCACCATAGCGCGCGCACACACACACACACACGTGTGTGTGTGTGTGTGTGTGGAGCAAGAGTTAAAATCTGTGGTTAAGTTTCTGGAACATGTCTGCACAGTGCAGACTGTCATGACACCTGACCATATTGTGGCGTGTAGACCCACTGCTACAAAACGAGTTGGCAAACAAGTTTCCACAGAGACGGATTCTTGGAAACCAACCTGTTATGGGATGAGATGTCCATGGGTATGGCGTACGGGTGATCAACAAATATTTCCATGGATATGGAAATGGAAGGTGTTTTCTGTTGGTCCGTCCCAACGTTATATAACAGGAAACCCAGATCAGATCAGATCAAATTAGAATGGGACCAGTTCAGATCAGAATGGAGAGTCCAGTAAGAACTGAGTAAGTCAAGGAAGAAGGGCTCGAGTGAAGAGTCATTGTGATTATGTGTGACTGCACAAGGAGTGATCAATAAATACAACCAAAACCCCTTCTATAAGTCACCCAGACAAATGACAATATGAAGTTACCTTGACACATAAGCAGAGTCACAGCTTGAAACTATTGGGAAATCTATGCATGGTCATTTACTGTGTCAAGAGTGAAGCCTGTTTGACTCCATGAAGTGCAATGATATCTACATGTTTATCTTTATTATTTAAAAGCTGTGCATTCTGCCAAGACAGACCACGTGCTTTGACTTCTGCACAACATGATCTGAAATTTTAAACACTATGCAGATGAATTTCATGCTACAAGGAATTAACATGACTATAATAGCAAGCATTAAGCATTTAACTTCCTCATGGCTTAAGTACCATGAACACAATGGAAAGGGGCTTCAGCAGACAATGAAAACTCTCAACATTTCAAAACCCAGTTTCCATATGATACAAGATATGGACAGCAAAGAAGCTTAATTTTCAGAAATTTTCCAACATTTTCAGCCTTATTCAAAGAGCATGTCATATGCTGTCAGAAGAATTTTAGAGGCAGCACCTGTTTCTATGAACACACATGATTAGATCAGACTGAGGGGTTGAAGGGTAGGTCACACTAGCCCTCCTACTTGTGGTTACACCTCTAACAGTCCCACACTGCGAAAAAAGTGAAGTATTTTGGTTAATGGTGTATCTGGGCGTTCACTAAATTTAATGAAATGCATTCCCAAGTTTAAAAATCTTAAAATCAGCTGGGTTTCAGAGTCACACACAGGATGTGTGAGGCTCTTTTGTCTTTGGTGTGAAACCTTTTACAAGCAGGGCTAGTTACCAGTCCCTGTGTGAAGAGATGTCCTTTCAAACTGATAATGTCCTATAAGGGGTCCTGCCATGCTTCTCAGCTGGTTCCTATTCAGTCTTAATAGTCCATAGTCATTTTTGCACATTTGTGTCCAGCTGCAGAATCCCCATCTTCCATTGGCCCCTGATGGCCATTTCGGCAACTCTTACTGAGATGTCACAAGCCAGTTCAGGTCCTATAAATGGGCATTCGGATCCCATTCTCGCCATGCAGTTGACAATGGCCATGCCCCCACAATATGGCACCCATATCAACATACTGTGTATATGTACCTCTTTCTCGTCTCTCCTCACGCCGCGCTTTAAGCATGTTCATTGCTGCTGCTTTCTTATCCACCTTCCCCCTGTTTTCTTCCACCGTCTTCTTTCGTTCTTTACTTCTCTCCTTTGCATCCATTTTCTCCTCCCTTTTCTTCTCCTGATCTCGCTTCTTTCTCATTTCCTGTTTCTTAGCTAACCTTAACTTCTTCTCGATTTCAAACCTGAAAAAAAATGAGTAATTTTTACAAGCACAGACCAAACTGAAGTGCAATATGAAGAAATGGAAATACATCTTCAACAGAGTGTAACCTCTGGCTGCACTTTGAAAATGTACAAAGCTGAACAGATCATGAAAATTTCATGTTGATTCCTGAAGAGGCAGAGGATCCAGACTGGCCCTGGGGCCCATCCAGCTTCTCATTCCAATGAAAATCAGGGGGTCTCTCCCCAGAAGTAAAGCATTCCATCTACATCTAAATATTTTTATATTTGAAAGCCTTTAATAAGTTTTAAATATTTGTTTTATGCGTGACTTTAAAGTGAGCTGGGATAGCGTAGTTGGTATGGCGACTGGCAACAGGCTGGATGATGGAGGGGTTGGAGTTCGAGTCCCAGTAGGGCCAAGAATTTTCTCTTCTCAACATCATCCAGACTGGCTCTGGGGTCCACCCAACTTCCTATCCAACAGGTACCAGGGGCTCTTTCCCTGGGGGTAAAGCGGCCAGGGCATGAAGTTGACCACTCATCTGCAACTAGTGTTGAGGTCAAGAAAATGTGATCTATACACCCACTCCCCATATGCCTTCATGGTGTAGTGCTTCATTAGTTAAGAAGAGGGACAACTTGACCTTTACCTTTTACATGATTTTAAACCAATTCTTGGTTCAGTGTAGGAACACAACTATATAATCTGTGTGAATAAGGTGATTGGAAAAAAATGTAAGTACATCACACATTTTTTCATTTTATTTTGTAACACACTGAGATAAGGGTCATATATGGATCCATAGAGGAGTCACAATTCAGTGGTAAGTAAAAAAGTAAAGGTATCCCTGTAACAGGTCATGAAGGCCCATAGGGTTGTGAGATGTTGAGGGTCCCACATTATCTATACCAGGCATGTCAAACTCAACTTGTACAGAGGGCCACCTCAGCCCTATAAATAATAGTCGAGGGCCGCACTTCAAAATAGAAATATACATTAGATTTTGATACAATGAAATTTAATTATATTTATTATTTAGGAATAATTTCAATATAATTACCTAAAGTCACATATCTTACAGTTTTAAAAAGCAAGAGAATGCCATTTTCAACAAGTATCAAACAACTTTTCAATACGTAAAAAGAGAGATTACACAAGAAATTATGTTAGAAATAGTAAACCACTGAATTTCTTGCAGTCTGCTAAATTATGCCTGTGTTAGACTTCTTGTCTTCTGGTCTGTTGGAAAATTGTCTTTACAAAAAATATTTCTACTAAAATTTTAATATTGATTTTAATATCAATTAGCTCTAAAAGTTGAGGGGCCGCATGTTTGACATGGCTGATCTAGACAAACGGCTTAAAGATGGCAGTAAGGTTGTCAGACCTACGCACAATTCAGTGGTAAGACTTGTTAATTGTATTGCTTGAGGATGTCTCTATGAGCTTTATTCTAGACCGATGAAACTCAGTTATACACGACGGACTGTGAGTGAGTTGTTTGGTAATTGTTGTTTCACAGGAATTATTACGGAAATTCATATAGCATAAACACACACCAGGATGGATTCCTCTGTCAGGAGGCCAAAGTCTTGGCTGATCAGCTGGTGCTTAGTTGCGGGACCAGCGGGACCCGACCAGTGTTGGGGCATAAGGCAGGATTGCCACTACTGCAGAGTCAAAAAGTTGTCAACTCTCAGCATTTTCACGAGGGGCCCATGAGGATAACGCTGATGCAAGTGAGAAATGGTCAGGTCAGCAGACAAAGGTTGTGGGGAAGATGAGGCTTTTTAGGGAACTGAGGGTTCGGCTATCCTGCCGGTGGAACACAGACAGTGGCTGGGATGACCTGTCACCAGCAGTTCGCCAGAGGACGAGATTACATCAATACTCGACTTGGTGGGGCATGCATCAGTGTCCTCTGACTGTGCATGGGTACAGCCAATGGCTATTACAAGGTCATCAATCAGAAAGGTTTCATCTCTAGCCAAGGTCAACGTTCTTACAGAACCCACGCAACACTGGGGGTGCACAACAGACCCAGTAGAGATCTGAGTGCTTAAGACAACTGGAAGTTGTGCCCCCATGTCAATACCAAAGCGCTAACAGTACTGGGGTCACTGCCTCACAGAGACTGTAAGCAAGAGGGAGGGATGAGCAGTACCACCTTACTGCAGATTACTAATCACTTAATGCTGGGTTGCGTTAAAGTTCATACCTAGTTTTCATTACTTCACGTTGTTCAATTCTCTTGAAGATCTCCTGCTCTCTTTCCTTCTCTGTCATCTGGGCGAGGCGAGCCTGATCCTCTTCATCGCCCATGAGGTTCTCATCATAACCATCATTAAACTCTTCTTGACTGAGTGCTGAGCTGTCAGAATCACTTCCTTCTGTGTCTGAGACCTCACCTGCAACAACATCAAACACAAATTTCACTAGAGACAGACATGCTTCCATACTAATGGCGGCCCACCAATAACTTCCAAACTTCACATTAGTATTGCCAGCTGTAGGTGTTAATTAGTAAAATCAAAACCTTCGGAGGATTTTAATATTTACTTTTTTTTATATGCAATCAAAATCCTGAACTTTTCAAGATGGAACCAAAGGCCTAATGTGTTAAAATCAACCAAAAGCCTAACTTTGTGGACTTGTTATTGGGTCAGGCTTTGGGTCTTTGTATTTTTACAAATAAACTTGTAAGGCTCACAGTGGCGACATGGCCACCAAAATGATGGGAGTCTCTACAGTAGGTGTAGGATGTAAAGTTTCAGGAGGTCAAGGTGGCAAGTGTTCAGACTGTGGTCTTCCTTGTCGTTAACACTGTGTAGTTTAGAAAGTGGTTGCTAATGTTTCTGTGTTAAAGATGTTCCTCTGAAATGACAATACAGACTGTGTTTTAAGGCCTGACCTCTTGGTCGTGTGTGAGAAGTATGTCAAAAGGTAGCAGGACAGTCAGTGCATCTGCACTGTGAGATAGAGGGTGACACACTGGAACTAAGGCCCTGCTATGACACATGAGTTAGCAGACTTCACTGTTGAGAATGGCTATGTCTACAACTAAGGGCAATACACTCACAAGGCTACATGATGTCACACACCAGATGATTCATGTATTCTTTATTACCAAGGAAATTAATGGCAGAAAGTTCTTGCGACCACCCACAACCGAGACTTTTTAAATATGCAACAGAAATGTCAATGTGGAAATTTGACAGCTCCAAACTCCACTTAGGGTTTCCACAGATGACCCTTCCACTGAGCCACTCTTATGCAGTACACTGTGAAATCGAATTTTCACTGCATATGCATGCCATGAACTTGGTAAGTGCAAAAGGGGGGGGAAAAGCACAAAAGCTTATAGAGGATGGCACAAAAATCAATTCCTAATTTCTAGCAACTGTCAAACAGCAAGTTTGTTATGAGGGAAGTTTGTACTGCATGCTTCATGGAGACCCTGATAGGGGCGCATGTGTTGCTACCAACACAGCATACAGTGGCTGTTACTGAGATGGCACACAAAGAGAGATCCAGTTCCAAGCTGAGAGAGAAAACTGTTCTCTTCTTATGGAAATAAAACAAAGCGTGACTGCGGCCCACAAGACATTTTCATGCTTATTTCATGATGCAGCATATTCGTCCTCCACAAACAGTACAATGGATTGGTTCACAGTTTCAACAAGACACATAATTTCTGTAGTGCATCCTCATGGTGCAAATGTGCACACCACGAAGAACAGCGACAGTGACACAGCAGCAACGCACCCAGAAAGATCAACAACAAAACCTGCAGCACAGTAAATCACATCTACAAATTCCATCCACTGAACGCAAAAGTCAAATGTTCCTATAAAAATAATGGGGGCAGCACAAAACCTTACCGCACCTGATGAACAACTGGGACTATGTTCACTGCACGAAATGAATGTGACACGACCACATACACATTGTGCAATTTTCTATCTGGACAGAGTAATGAACATACAAAATGTGTATTTCTGGGCTATGGATAATCCACGTGTTCACCAAGAAAGTACATGGCACATCCATGATTACACTATGGGTTGTAGTATCAAGCCATGGGCTAATGAGATCATTCTCATTTGAGTGAACTGTAAACTCTGAGCAGTACCTGATCATGTTATGTAACAGTTTCATGCTCTCACCTGTTGCAACTGCTCTGCCAATAAGCAACAAAAACTGGAGTATGCAGGATGCTATCATACACCATAAAGCAAACATTACTTTGGACTTATCCTGTGATATCTATGGTCCACACCTGATCTCTGATCAGTAACTTCGTATGCATGCATCTGGAAGGATCTGTGCACTGGATGGCCTGGACATTAATCCCTGCAAATTCTTTCTTTGAGGAATCATCAATGGAAAACTGATTCCAAAAGTGCAGCCTCACTTACGGAGGCCAGGGCCATGATTGCCAACTGCACCATATATGGACGACACATGCAGTCTTGCGGCCATGAGCATACTTTTCATAATATCACTGTGCATTCTACAGCAGCACATGCACTCCCTGTGCAACTTCATTGATGCATTCAAATGCACACTTCAAAAGCATTCATTTCCTCCTATTGCTCAAAATGGACAACAGTTTCCTCTACAGCTTGCAGATTTGTACCATTACGTTATGATTACATTATATAATTCCCTCCAAGTCCTCTAGCCCGAGACAACCAGCCAAAAATAACCGTAGCTGACGAAGTTATCACTACCGATATTGATATGAACAGACTGGCTTCACTAGAGGGAACATGGAAATATGACAGTGCGGGAACTACAGACAGCTCAAAGGAGATGTGAAATGAGTCGACCCATGCGCCTTCTTCACATGGCCTCAGTATAACTTCTATACTAGCCATATATTTAAAGTACTTCTATACCAGTTATAAAATTATTCTCTCTTAATTTTACACAATCTTTGATCCAAAAAATCAGATAATAGAAGAAAGCCTATATTATGAGTTCCTCATACATTCACCTTGTGGGATTTGAGATTCTCACAAGTAACGACTGTAAACATTAATATTTTTCACATTGTGATGCCATGCAATCTGGTAGATGCTTATTGATCTCACCCTGAAAATGGCAACAGTATATTCCTCCAAAACATCAGAAACAATCTATCAGACTTCATTGCATCACATCTCTACATTTTTACCTTCTTCTGGCTCAGAACTCTTCCCTCTGTTGCTGTCACTGTCACTACCGGACGATGATTTTGTGACAGTTCGCTTTCCTGTCCTTCTGGCTGGCTTGGGCTTCTTCTTCTTCTTGCTGCTGCCCCGAGCATCCCAATCATCATCAGAATCTGATGTATCAGAGTCTGTAAAAGTATTCTCAGGCTTCTTGTTGCTGCTTTCAGTCACAGATTCTTCTTGCTGTTTCATTTTCTTCTTCTTTGCAAGTGACAGTAGCTCCTGACAATGTAAAATATCTAACACTTCATATGGGCATTGTAAATGAACATAAACGTTTTTAAATATAATTTAAAGTGTTAGAATATGTTATTTGGACTATATATGCTATTCATAAACTGCACCACTTGACAGCATGTGTAATGGTACTGCGAGTATTAGCATATAGTACTATCTGTAAACTAAGAAAGCAGAAGTTACTTGCAAATGTGAGGTTAGGCTGTCAGAGTAACGACTTTTCGACGCCAAAATACGACATAGCAGCCATATAGCCCATTTATTTCCCTACATATTTATATTAATGTGGAATTCTAACCACAGCATTCACAATACAATTTCATTAAAATTAATATTCGCGATGGGAAGTACACAAAATAAAGTATTACATCCCGCAATTATGTGAAAATGTTTGGGTTAGTATTTCGAAATGCGCTTCATTTAATTTCGATCTGATATCTACATGCCATCACCTACTTTCGAACGACTTATAAATTCAATTCAATTTAGAACAATGGCAATGGCATTAGCATGACATCAAGCTACTTTACAATGCATTAATCCTAAGATTTTTAACAAGAAATGTTGCATAAACTTACAGAATCTAAATCTGAGCCACTCTCATCGCTTTCACCACTGTCCGAATCAATCAAATTCTTTCGCTTTACCATCCTAAACTCACAGAAACAATAATTATACACACATAAACACAACAGAACTCTCCAAATAGCCCGAATAGTAAATATGACCTTACTTCCGGTGTCGACCCGCCACAACCGGCGTCGAATACTGTTGAAACTAAAATTGATACCGTAAGTGATGCCAACCTAAAGACCAACAACCGAAGATATAAAATAACCAAATGTTTTCATTACGGAGAAGTAAGACTTTTGCAAGGAGCCGCGCCATGGCCCAAGCGGTTAGTCTTTTTTTTCTCACCGCGGCGGCCCGGGTTCGATCCCGGGTCTGGTCAAGTGGGATTTGTGGTGGACAAAGTGGCGCTGTGGCAGGTTTCCTCAGAGTAATTCGGTTTCCCCTGCCAATCTTCATTCCTTCCACCAATTGCTCCACAATCACCCTCGCCTATCATCTTGGGCTGGTACATTGGGCCAGAAGTGGCCTCAGTACAAGGGGCTTAGTCCCACCCCACTAGCGATACAAAAAAGACTTTTGAAAAATTATCTGTTTACAATGGCGTGGTTATTAAAAAAAAAATATGATTGAATATGATGCTTCTTATTGATGGATATTGTAAGGTGAATACCCACTGTTAGGCAACAGTTTGGTAAACACCTTCCCACTTAAGTGCGTTAGAACAAAAACAGACATCCGGTGGTAGACAATGGTACTGTAAATGAATGGCTAAAACAATAAGCTACATTCATATGCATTGTTTTTATAAACTGGATGAATTTTATAAGATAAAAGGTTAACATGTTTTCATCTAGTACTTAAGTCTTGTTGTAGTCACATTTGATTATGTTTAGTGACTGTGTTGTTTATATTATGTTATTTTGACTTGTTCCAGTGATTGGTTGGAACATTTGTTTTGATTTTTGACATATTCTATATCCAGTGGTGGGTCAACTTGTTTCTCGCCCTGTAATTGGATCTACTTGAATATAAAAATAAACTAAATTTAGTTAAATTAAACCACCACCACCACCACCACCACCACTACTTGTTGTTGCTGCTGTAATTGTTGTTCATTTTCTTCATGTATCTCAAAGATTGGTTGCTATAAGACTTCTGGCATTCATTAGTTTTAAAACTGATTATGACATCTAACTAACAACCTAACTTAAGGAAGCTGAGTCCTTCTTGAGAAGCAGCCAGTCGCTCAGCTACTCGAGAATTTCCAAATATTTTATGGACCCAGAAGGTTCATTACCATGTTCACAAGAGCCTGCCAATGGTTATCCTGAAACTGATTCAGTCCATACCACCCCATCCAATTTTTCTAAGATCCATTTTAATATTATACTCCCACCTATATCTAAATCTTCTTAGTGGTCCCTATACTTCTAGCTTTCCCATCAAAACCACACATGCATTCCTCTTTGCCCCATGCATTCAACAAGCTCTGCCCATATCATTATACACTTGCCGAAGAGTACAAGTTATGAAGCTCCTCATTATTCAGTTTTCTTCACCCTCCTATTGTTTCATCCCTCTTTAGTCCAAATATTTTCCTCAGTACCCTGTTCCCAAACACCCTCAGTCTGTGTTCTTCCTCTAATGTTGTAGACCAAGTTGCACAGAAATATAAAACTATGTACTTGCAAAATTATAAAGCTATGTGTATTTTTTTATGAGTTTAGACAATGGAGGAAGAGATAACAGATTCTAAACTGAAAGGTAGCAACCTTATCAGAATTCAATCTGCTTTTAATTTCCTCATAAATCAAATTTTGATTTGTTACTTCTTCTTCTATGGCACAACAGCCCAATGTCGGGCCTTGGCCTCCCTTATCAAGCCCTTCCATTCCTGTCTGTCCTGCCCTGCTCTCTTCCTGTTCCTTAGACCCATTAACTTCTTCGCATCTTCTTCCACCGCATCAATCCATCTAGTTCTTGGTTTCCTAGTGTGTCTCCTACCGCCTATTGTACTATATAGAATTTTCTTTGGGATATGCTCCTTATCCATTCTCTGTACATGCCCAGCCCCTTGCAATCTTTTTAGCTTTATCTTCACTGAAATCTCTGGCTCCTTATATAATTTGTATAACTCTTTATTATATCTTATTCTCCATATCCCATTCTCTTTTATTGGTCCATAAATTCATCTTAGGATTTTCCTCTCAAATGAATTGATGACATATTCCTCTTTCTTGTTTAGCGTCCAACCCTCACATCCATAATAAAGCACTGGTCTTATCATTGTTTTATATATTTTTGTTTTAATCACTCGGTGTATATCCTTTGATCTAAAAGCTGATAGTAACAAGAAATATGCATTATTTGCTAGTTTTATTCTTCTTGTTATTTCATGATATTCCTCTCCATCTTTGTGGAATTTCGATCCTAAATAAACGAAGTCTTCAACTATTTCTATCCCATCCCCTTCCATGTTAATTTCTCCAGTTCGCCTTGGATTCCTTCTAGATTGTATCAGCATTTTAGTTTCATTTACATTCACCTCTAAGCCAGTTGTTTCTGCTATGGTTTTTATTTCTTTATATGTCTCCTTCATTGCTCTTGGGGATCTCGATACTAGAATAATATCATCCGCATACGCCATTATTTGCGTTTGTTTATACGCTACTGTGTTTCTTGTGTCTACATGACATTTCCTCACTACATATTCCAATACCAAATTAAATAGTGATGGGGCCAAACTATCTCCCTGTTTTAATCCTTGATTTGTCTTAAAGCATTCCGTTAACTGGTTCTGGATTTTAACTTTATCGATTGTTTCTATCATGGTTAAGTTTGATTTGTTACTACTGTTCCCTAATGTCTGAACTCTGACACATTTTCGATGGATATACTATTTTTTTTATTGCTAGTGGGGTGGGACCAAGTCTCTTGTACTGCAGCCACTTCTGGCCTATTGTACCAGCCCCACTTGATAGGTGAGGGTGACTGTGGCGCAATTTGTGGAATGAAGATTGGCAGGGGAAACTGAAGTACTCGGAAAAAAACCTGCCCCAGCGCCACTTTGTCCACCACAAATCCCACTTTACCAGCCCCGGAATCGAACCTGGACCGCTGCAGTGGGAAGCCGGTGACTAACCGCTTATGGATATACTAACTGTCTTTATGCTATGAACTTTCAACATACACATATACTTGGTTTTCTCTGTGTTTACATATAGATCAACCTCTTTACTAGAATCAATTACAGCTTCTGTGTTTTTGGCCCTCATTCCTAATTTTGAAAAAATAAAAGTAGGCTTATACAATCACCATGCTGTCTGTGTATCCTCACATTCCCCCCCCCCTATCAACTTTTGAATGGTTGAACCAATCTTCAGAAATTTGATATATATATTATACTAGCTGGTTCAAATATGACCAGGACTGATTTTTTTGTAAACAAGCCGCACTGCGCAGCAGCTGTGCGACCTTGAGAGAGTGAAGCCACAACCTCCAACCTCCCTCCTGTTAGGGTTC